TTTTGTTAGTCAACAATGGATTTCATCTCTTTATTTAACAAATCCGAGCATATTTGGACCAGTAGATTTTCGAACAACAGCAAGATCTCAGGTAAATATAAATTTTTATCAAATAATAAAGTCAAGATATTCAACGTTTATTATACGCAGTTTATAGAACCAAAATGTTTCCTACACTTATTATTGTTGTAAAGTATCTAGAAAAGATTATGCAAAGAAGTTTTCTTTTATTTTTATTTAGTTCGAACTTCTGACCAGTCTTTGTTCAATCTTTCAAGATACAATTGATGAAAATAAAATAAATCTTGACAATAATGAACTTGTTACTATTAATCTTATTTCTGAAGACAAACTTCGATCACAAATAGATGCCAAGATTAAACTCTTTAGAAGTGGTATATCCACTGAAATGAATTCATTTCTAAGTTACATCAAAATCACAACTCGAGCAAATTATCTCATTTCAGCTCTTAATACAAACGCAGTGATTGGTGCCGTTGCCAATGGTGAAAACTATGTTATTAATATATTTCAAACGTTCGCTGAAAATGACTCTGCTGATGCTTCTGATATGGATACTATTACAACTTGCGGTAGTCAAAGTCTAATGGAATCAGCTGGTTTCTATACGTTGCCAAACATTACATCGGATGTTCCGAAATACTTTTTCAGATTAACTGATTATGATCCACTTGTGATAATTAATGGATTCTTTTCAGGTTGTACGCCATTTGAAAGTCTACTTCCAAGTACATTTGATTGTTTATACGATGTTAAATGTCTTCAACTATTATCCGACTATTTTCCAATTCTTCATCAAGTATTTACCTTGTACTTATTACACATTTTATAAACCTTTTTTTGTCTAGATGCACTGCAATTGGACCGATTCTGTTCTATCTTCAAAGTCAAAAAATATGTCTTTAAACGATTATTTACTTGATCTTTTCATTGAAAAATGGTCAACAGAGATGAATTATTCAGTATATTTTAACACATGTGCGTGTCCGTTTTGCACATACATAACAACAGATCAAACCAATTTATTATATGCAATGACTCTTCTGATTAGTCTTTATGGTGGTCTCACTATTGTACTTCGATTGATTTCTTCATTCTTGATTAATATTGCATGGAAATTCAAACACTATCGAAGACGTACGAGGATTAATTCAGGTATTTTCTTGAGTGTTAAAAAAATCTCTTTCTATGTGACTTTTCATACAATGTATAGAATATCGTACAACATACATACGAAATTTGATTCAAGCAGTAAAACGATTGAACTTGTTCAAGAATAATGATCGTACAGAAGGGAGTATTCGACAACAGAAGATCATCACATATGTTTATTTAATCTTAGTAACTGGTAAGAGATCAGATATTCAGTGTATATATTAATCCATTCATTTCTTTTTCAATATTTCATTAGGATCACTACTCATACTTCTCGGTATGTCTTTGAGGAGTCAGATGACTTTGATATCCATATCAAAACCATCATTGATCGTTTATAAAGACTTACAGAATTTATATATCGATACACTCAATTGTCCTTGTTCGACAATGATAATACCTTATCGTACATTTATTAATTTATCTCCAATATTTCATCAAGTGTGTTCAAGTGACATTATTAGCAAATCTTTCATTGCAATCATGACTTCTATTTCAACTCAAGTGATTTCTATCGATTGGTTGAATCAAGCTGGTTTACAATTTCAACTATTATCGGATCTTTGTCAAATGGCTAATAAAACAATTGATGATGCTGTTAACAACTTTTTCATACAACATTTTATTACATCAAATTTACTTACTAAAGATGAATTCGATGCACAATTAAATATAACTCTTGATCAATTTATTCAATCCACGAATATCTATTTTGGTCTACTTGTTAACACAATACGACTTCTTATGCAAGTTGATCAACCTTATATGGGAGTTATGGGACTTCTTCAAACAGTCAATACAAATCTGATCATAGATACCATCGCAAATGGAACATATGGGCAGCAACCAATAAAAGTACGTGATTTATATAAAAAACATGTTCACTATTTTGAAAAATACTGATGTATGTGTAAACATTATTTACATCTCATTTAGATTAGAATAAGAGAGAGATGAAAGAGGACAAGTGGAAAGATTAGTATTAAATTATTCTAAGGAAATCGATTTACATATTTAAGTATGAACGAGAAGAATAGAAAGAAGGAATTGAACAACATACCATTGCTCAACACGTTTGTACTATTGAGAAAAAATTTCATATTCAGAAATGATTATCATAATGCACTTAATCTTGTTTTAGTTAAAATTTTCTTTGACTGGAACTCGTGATATGAATTCAACAAATGTCAATTGTATTTGTGCTACTAATCCTCATTGTCAGAATCCAATCGCCATTTACGATGTTGATATAAAATTGGATGGAAGTTACACTTTTCATATCGCTTATACGGTACCAGGTTTCGTTCAAGGATGTTTTGCTATTGATTCTCTTCTACTTTCAACACTCGAATGTTTTTATACCAATTCGAATTGTTTATCAATTATAAAAAGTTACATAAGAGATGCTTATATTCAAACTACTACATATCCATTAGAATTTGATATTCATCCTCTTATTTATGATCCAATCGTTGATCGTTTTGCTCCAAATATTTCAATTGAAATGATAGTTAAACACATGATGATTGAAAGATGGAATATATCGATTTCATACGATAATTATTATGAAATATGTGCACCGGATTCTTGTACTTATTCTTATTCAATTCGGACGAAGACAGTTATTGGCGTCATGATTACATTATTATCCATGTTAGGTGGTCTTACTGTTTCATTACGTCTAATTACACCTCAACTCGTCAAATTTGTCTTTCGTTTATTTAAATTTAGTAATAACAGACAACATCCATCAAATAATCGTTCACCAGGTATATCTATTAAAACATTCAAATATTATTTTGAACATAAGTTAAGAAAGAACACACAAAACTTTGCACAATTTATTTTTATTATTAGACGAGCGTTTCTCCTCCTTATAAATATTTTATAAATGATTTGAGCGAAATTGTTGAAAAATTGATCTTTTTCTTTACAGTTCGTGTGGTATGGCATGGTCGATGGAGAACAATGAAACGACAGTTGAGAACACTTTTATATACTACAGTGATCGATCTGAACATTTTCTCTCTACGACATTTTGGAAGTCGAGTTGATCGAACGAGAGCAAAACATCTTGGTCAGTGGGCTACTCGTCTTTACATTCTCCTATTAACCATTTGTCTCACTATTCTCATTCTATATGGTGTTGTGCAACCTGAAACGATGAAAGAAACGCTTAATAAACCATCGTTAGGTTCATACAATCGTCTTCAAGAGAAATATGGAAATAACTTAAAATGTCCTTGTTCATTGATTGCATCAACATACGATCATTATGTCGCTATTAAACCACGTTTTCATCAGGTAAGAAATATTATTTTGATAGTAATTTCAACCCGATGGATATGCTTAAGAACGTATAGTATAACAGAGTTAAAACTAACATTTATCAAATCTGCACATGTAGTTGACTGAGTTCTTGTCAATCGAATCCAGAACATTTGTCGCCAGAGATTATATAAAGTCCTAACGGATATTGTCGAAAATGATTTCTTTGACAGAAGATACAATGTACACAGTTGTGTACAACTAAATTATCGTGTCTTTTTTTTATTGCTCTATCACAATAAACTCTGAATCAGTAATTGAAAAATTAGAATTCTATTTCGTTCTTCTTAACAATAGATTTGTTCGAGTCCATTTATTTCGAATGAATGGCGAAATAATTTAACGATGAATCTTGTTGCTGATCTTTCCGTTTACGATTTGAAAGATTATCGTCGTTTTCTCTCAGCTCATTTACAATATTTAACTGGATTATGTGAACTTTCTAATCAATCAGTGAATACTCCTATTGAACAGTTTCTTTCTTCACTCTTGATTACAAATGAACTTCAAACAGAAATCTCTTTCCGTGCACATATTAATTCATCAATTGAACAAAGTAAATCCAACGCTCCGAGAACATTTACTCGTCTTTTCAACTTAGTTCGTTATGTAAATCATGGTAATGCCATTGTATCTACTTATGGAACCAATTTCGAATATATTGCTCCTTATGATCAAATTGACGATTATTTTGCATACACTTATGGTATGATCTATGATGATAATTGTTCTTGTGCATCATATTTGAATTGTACAAGTCAAGCAAATTTTATGGAAACAAACTCTTCTGAAACGTTCTCAATTAAAGGCCTTAAAATCGGATGTACACCAAGTGAATCATTTCTTTTATCGACTCTGGAATGTTTTTATGATTCTTTATGTATTGATTTTATTCAACAATATACGAATTATATCAATTCCTCGACTCCTCTTTCAGCAACGATGAGTAGATTCTCTATAAATACGACAATTTCTGTACTGATGAAAAATCTCTTTATTGAAGAATGGATAACATCAATTAATTATTCATCCTATTTTGAACAATGTTTTCCTTTGTTTTGTTCGTATACTTATATTCGACGATTCAGTTTACTTTATGCAATAACTTTTGTACTCGGTATTCAAGGTGGTCTTACAATTATTCTCAAATGGATTTGTCCTCAAATAGTTCGAATTGTATTCAAAATTAATTATTATCGAAACAGTCGACGAAACATTGTTCAATCCATAAACACAACGCGTATAACGACAATCGGATCTACAAATACAGTCATTACTAATCGTACTTTCGAAGCAGAATTCATTTCACGAAATGTCACATCTCAGTAAATCTGTTTGATTTTCATTTGATAAATAATCTTTAGTTCTATCTTTAGAGTCCATTTTCATAGGCCTCTTCGACGTTTTGTCAAAATGTTCTCAATATTTTCAGTAGTGTTGTTCGTCTCGTTGGCTCTTATTATGTTTTCTATTTATTTTGCTCGATCTCAAAGTGATGAAATTATTCGAACAGGTATATCCTTGTCTCACAATTGTTTATCTAATAGTTCATATATCCGCCCAGACAAGAATCGCCAAAAATGCGTGAAAACACCGCAAGTTTATGTATATCAAATTGGCTATTTTGATTGACGTGACGCTCAGCCGAGATATATGACAACTTTCGTACTAAACTATAAATAATGCTCGTCGAGAATGAATCGTTTAACTTTCACCTGAATAATTAATTGAACATAAAACATCTTATTGCATAATTTTTATGTGGACGATAGAAACAGGCGATCAGGAATATCTTCTTGAGCTTTTCGACTTGTGAAGAATCTCGAAGAAATGTTTTTTTTACGCTTCACACCATCCCTTTGTCAACATGTATCCACAAGTCTCTTCGTAGAAAATATATCTTTGGATTTTGAGAATTTCTATAGATCTTAACCTTCGACTCATCTGACATAAACACATATGCATACACTCAAACTATTTTTTTGGTTATATGACTCTCTTTCATAGTCGAAGAACTATAAATCGAATTGGTGATCTCATGTGGACTTTATGTTTTCTAGTTTCCCCAACAAATACGACAAATTATGCATATGGAACAATGATAACAAGTATATCAGAAAGTACAGCAACATTAGCTTTTACAACAACAACAGGTGAGGAGAAAATTTCATGATCATTTCATTAGGGTTATAAAATATTTTGCCATATGTCACGGAAATCGATTTGAATTCATGTTTATGAAGGCTACTCATAAGTATTGTGGATCTTTCAGATTTACGTTCTAAGTATTGAAGAGAATTTTTATTGTGTTTTTTTTTCTTCTTTTTATAAGTATCGCCTTGTCAGTTTACGTTTGAAAAAAGCGCCGTATCTGCAGATAATTGGCAATACGGCCCACGTCTCCCGACTGCGATTGACTTCAATAATGACGGAATCCTCGATCTAGTTTTTATTGGTTATCATAGTTTAAGAATCACTTTTGGAAACGGTAATGGAACTTTTCAAGGACAAACAATTCTTTTAACAATATCAGAAGGTTTATACATAGTTGCTTTCGCTATGGGCGATTTCAATAAAGATGGTCGACTCGACGTAGCAGTTATCAACAGTGATCAGACTTCTATAAATGTTCTCCTTANATGAGTCTTCATGTATTCATTCTATTCAACGATATACGAATTATATAAATTCCTCGACTCCTCTTTCAACAACGATGAGTAGTAGATTCTCTATAAATACGCCAATTGCTGTACTTATGAAAAATCTCTTTATTGAAGAATGGATAACATCAATTAATTATTCATCGTATTTTGAACAATGTTTTCCTTTGTTTTGTTCGTATACTTATATTCGACGATTCAGTTTACTTTATGCTATAACTTTTGTACTCGGTATCCAAGGTGGTCTTACAATTATTCTCAAATGGATTTGTCCTCAAATAGTTCGAATTGTATTCAAGATTAATTATTATCAAAACAGTCGACGAAACATTGTTCAATCCATGGACACAACGCGTATAACGACGATTGGATCTACAAATACAGTCATTCCTGATCGTAATTTCGAAGCAGAATCCATATCAAGAAATGTCACATCTCAGTAAATCTATTTGATTTTCATTTGATAAAGAATCTTTAGTTCTGTTTTTAGAGTCCATATTCACAGGCCTGTTCGACGTTTTGTCAAAATGTTCTCCATACTTTCACTGGCGTTGTTCGTCTTATTGGTTCTTATTATGTTTTCTATTTATGTTGCTCGATCTCAAAGTGATGAAATTATCCGAACAGGTATATCCTTTTCTCACAATCGTCTATCTAATAGTTCATATATCCGCCCAGACAAGAATCGCCAAAAATGCGCGAAAACACTGCAAGTTTATTCTCGAAAAAACGTTTTTTTACCCTTCACACCATTCCCTTGTCAACATCTATTCCCAAGTCTCTTCGTAAAAAATATTTCTTTAAGTTTTGAGAATTTCTATAGATCTTGACCTTTTCGGCCCTGACACAAACACACATGCATACACTCAAACTATTTTTTCTTATCTGACTCGTCTTTCGTAGTCGAAGAAATATAAATCGAATTGGTGATCTCATGTGGACTTTACGTTTTCTAGTGTCCCTGACGAATACGACAAATTATGCATATGGGACAATGATAACAAGTACACCAGAAAGTACAGCAACGTTAAATTTTACAACAACGGGTGAGGAGAAAATTTCATGATCATTTCAGTAAGGTTATGAAATATTTTGCCATATGTCACGGAAATCCATTTAAATTCATGTTTATGAAGGCTACTCATAAGCATTTTGGATCTTTCAGATTTACGCTCTAAGTATTGAAGAGAATTTTTATTGTGTTTTTTTTTCTTCTTTTTATAAGTATCGCCTTGTCAGTTTACGTTTGAAAAAAGCGCCGTATCTGCAGATAATTGGCAATACGGCCCACGTCTCCCGATTGGGATTGACTTCAATAATGACGGTATCCTCGATTTAGTTTTTATTGGTTATCATAGTTTAAGAATAATGTTTGGAAACGGTAATGGAACTTTTCAAGGACAAACAGTTCTTTTAACAATATCAGAAGGCTTATACATAGTTGCTTTTGCTTTGGGCGATTTTAATAAAGATGGTCGACTAGACGTAGCAGTTATCAACAGCGATCAGACTTCTATAAATGTTCTCCTTAGCGATAACAATGGAACATTCGGAGATTTAATGCAATTAACTGGCGACAATATAAAGAGATTAGAAGATATTACAATAGCAGATTTTGATAATGACAATTACTTGGACATAGCTGTCTGTGATTTTGGAAATAATGCTATTGGTGTCCTTTTCAACAATGGTAATAGAAGTTTTTCAGTATACAGACGATTTTCAGCTGGATCTAGTAGTTGGCCAGTAAGTATTACTGTTGGCGATGTTAATCATGACAATCATACAGACATTGCTTTCATCAATCACAATAGCAAACAGATTGGAGTATTATTTGGCTATGGAAATAGAACCTTTCAATCAGTAAAAACATTTTTCACGGGAGGTGGTTACAGACCAACGTCATTCGTTATGGGAGATTTTAATGAAGATACTTGGTTAGACGTTGCTTATTCTTGTATGAGCAGAAATGCTATTAGTGTATTATTTGGATACAGTAACGAAACTTTAGGTGGAAATGTCGATTTCTTCATAGAAACGGATATTATTAGTACAACACCACCCGCTATTGGTGATTTAAATAATGATGGTCATTTAGATATTGTCGTTCCCAGCGCACGACCTGATTACATAAATATATTAATTGGACGTGGTAATGGAATATTTATAGCACAACATATATTTGTGCCTGGAACTTCTTATAATGAACCGACTACCAAGATAATTGTTCATGATTTTAATGGTGATAGTTGCCAAGATCTCATCGTTTCAACTTATTTTACTAGCAATTTGGATATTCTTTTGAATAATTGCGACTGTTCAGTATCTGGAATCTCCAGAAATAATTAAAAAACACGTTCGATTCTTCTTTAAAATTTGGAGATTAAAATAGATCTTGGGATCTATTTTTCATCATAGAACATCGTTCTGCTTCATAAAAATAAATCATTTATAATTAACTTTTCAGCATAAATTTGTGATGTTTGCTTCATATCAACATTTCGAGAAACTCTTTGAAGTTCTAAAATTTCCCAATAATTTGAACGATTTAATAACAGTCATGAAGTTTTATGTTCTTCATTTTGCTTGACCTTCGCGACTGGTTAGCTGGCATAAATCAGTATTTTGAATAGTGTGTCTGAGAGAAGTAGTCCTATGGCAATACATCAGCCCTAGAAGCACTTTTGTCCAACCGTCGAAGTCTTACATTGAAAATGTATGAATTGAAATTCAATTTCAGTTATTTCAAATATAATGTGAATCTTTCTGAATTCATTGAATTTGATTCAACCTAATGAGACAGTTATCTCAATTAATAGATTTACATTTATTTGACTTTTAATCTTTATGATTGATTTAGCAGAAATGATGACAGGTCCAGTTATCATCGAAATAACGTCACCCGTTTCTGCCAATCGAGACGTTTCAGAACCTAACGGAAATCCTCTATCGTATTCAGATTCTGAATCTGAATGTGAACAATCATTTGATGAAAACTAAAAACCTTTTTTTTTTGAATTTTAGTTGGAAAATAAGATGAATAATCCTTTATGTATTTCTGATTATCCATGTACACATCGAACTTTCTCTTTAGTCGAATTTTTCCTTTTGGTTTGTTCAGATAAATGTTGCAAAAAAGGATTTGATTCAACATATCAAAATCGATCGAATGGAATCATCACTTCATCTTCATTTTATGAATTCCTACACTCAGTGCAAAAGAAAATTCAAAATTATATGTATTAGTTTATGTTTAATAGTCACAATTTGGATTATTTATTATCATTATCTCACGTATAGTGATTGATCTCACTTCTTCTACAATAGTAGAAAATTCCAATCAAGTTCAACCGATATCTACCATTGTAGAACCAAGTCGTATTTCAATCAATGCACATTTTTTNACGGATATTATTAGTACAACACCACCCGCTATTGGTGATTTAAATAATGATGGTCATTTAGATATTGTCGTTCCCAGCGCACGGCCTGATTACATAAATATATTAATTGGGCATGGTGATGGGATATTTATAGCACAACATATATTTGTGCCCGGAACTTCTTATAATGATCCGAGTACCAAGATAATTGTTCATGATTTTAATGGTGATAGTTGCCAAGATCTCATCGTTTCAACTTATTTTACTAGCAATTTGGATATTCTTTTGAATACTTGCGACTGTTCAGTATCTGGAATCTCCAGGAATAATTAAAAAACATGTTCGATTCTTCTTTAAAATTTGGAAATTAAAATAGATCTTGGGATCTATTTTTCATCATAGAATATCGTTCTGCTTCATAAAAATAAATTATTCATAATTAACTTTTTCAGCATAAATTTGTGACGTTTGTTGCATATCAACATCTCGAGAAAATCTTTGAAGTTCTAAAGTTTGGATGATTTAACAACAATCATGACGCTTTATGTTCTTCATTTTGCTTGACCTTCGCGGCTGAATAGCTGGCATAAATCAGTATTTTGAATAGTGTGTCTGAGAGAAGTAGTCCTATGGCAATATATCAGCCCTAGAAGAATGAATATAGCACTTTCGTCTTTGAAAATGTATGAATTGAAATTCATATAAAGTTAACGCCGAGCACAGCTGCTGATCTTCGACGGAAAGAATGTGATCAAATTGGTCATCAGTCACTAACAAAAACAGCAGCTTCTTGAATAAGAGAAAGTCAATCACTTGTTCTTAATCAAAATTTTCTTTCGCGTCTCCAAAGATTTTTATATGGGAAAAAATATGAGACAGTTATCTCAATTAATATGGATTTACATTGATTTGACTTTTAATCTTTATGATTGATTTAGCAGAAATGATGACAGGTCCAGTTATCATCGAAATAACGACATCCTTTTTTTGCCATCGAGACGTTTCAGAACATGACGGAAACCCTCTATCGTATTCAGACTGTGAATCTGAATGCGAACAATCATTTGATGAAAATTAAAAACCTTTTTTTTTAATTTTAGTTGGAAAATAAGATGAATAATCCTTTATGTATTTCTGATTATCCATGTACATATCGAACTTTCTCTTTAGTCGAATTTTTCCTTTTGGTTCGTTCAGATAAATGTTGCAAACAAGGATTTGATTCAACATATCAAAATCGATCGAACGGAATCATCACTTCATCTTCATATGACTTTCCACACTCAGTGCAAAAGGAAATTCAAAATCATATGTATTCGTTTATGTTTAATTGTCACAACTGGATTATTTATTATCATTATCTCACGAATATAGTGATTGATCTCGCTTCTTCTACAATAGTAGAAAATTCCAATCAAGTTCAACCGATATCTACCATTGTAGAACCAAGTCGTATTTCAATCAATGCACATTTTTTGCTTTCCATGTTCTATTATTAATTACTTTGATTCCGATGGCACAGAAAAGATTGAAATATCTTTTGATCGTATTCAGTTGTGACTTCGAAATGACATTAATAGTAAATAAAAACATTAAATAACAATTATTTGAAAAACTTTTCGAGACAAAATTCTTGATTTCAATTGAATTACAGATGAAAACGTAGTAACACAGCGTTCGATATAATCAAATCAATAGTGAAAATATTAATGTGGATGTGAATGATGATGATGAGGATGATGATGTTTATGAGATGGATGAGAATGTTTCACTAAATGTCGAGATTGACCTTCATTTTCATGTTTTACACAATTTTCAGTTCCACGTTCGTACAAAACACCGAGATTTTGATTTGTAAGATGAGAATCGATTGAATCAGGAAATGATGAATGTTCTTTTATTCGTTGAACTAACTCATTTGCTTTAAGATCAATATTTTGTTCTGAATGAGGATCAAAATGAATATATAAAAGTCTTGATGTAATTAATCCTAACCAATTTGAAGGTCTCCATTCATATTTATCAGCGACAATACATGGAATAATATGTTTACGTTGTCTTTCAGCATATGTTAATTCCAATTGACAATTTTCTGATTCTTGATATTCTGGCGACATAAAACAACAAACTATCGAAGCATTTTCTACTGCTTCTGCCATACTAAATATGTAGACAATATTCTTAACAAATATGAATCCTACGAAAAAATGAAATACCTTTTATATAAATTATCTTTAACTCCACCATGTAGATCAAACCAAACGGGAATATTTGCATTTGTTAAAGTATCATAGATTTGAGATACAACTTTCAAATCTTTTCGACAATAAGAGAACATCACATGTTTACCATCATTGAAAGCCATATTGATATGCTGCAGATATCCTTATACTCAATAATACACTTTTCAAAGATCTAAATAAATTTAAAGAATCCCAAAGATACAATGAAGAAAGTAACAAAAGAGTCAATAGATTTATGGATGAAATAAGTTTCTTTTTGCTATCAGAAAAAAGCCACGTGAGTGAAGTGTAAACAAAAAGTACGTTTTAATGTCAGAAGAAAAGAATATTGTCATGCTATAAAATATGTCCTTTCATAATAAAATAAGTCAAACTATTTTTCTCTCTCTAATCAAATAACGAATAAACAATTCGCGAGTTGTTGTTATACTTTTTCTGAATTCATCTATTGAATACCTCTGTGGTAAAAGGATGTGACAGAATTCTGTTTTGTCTTCTAAGATGTAACTAGAAGAACACGAGAATAACAGTGAAAAAAAAAGAATATAAGCCAGAAAACTAAAACTATTTCTTCTTTCACACTTTTCTTGACGTCCACCATCCTCTTTTCCTTTTCTTTCCTTGACACGAAGGAAATCTAATAACAGCATTTTTTTGGTCGGAAAGAAGTAGAACAATTTGGAAAACAAAGAGCTTGTTATACCTTAGAAAATAGATGAAGAGAGTAAAAACTAAAACTGTAGTTCTCTCGACTGAGAGAAGGGTCATGCCGAAAAAGTAGTTTGTATGATTTTGTCATCGTTGCGTAGCCAACAGGACGATAGATTTGTCATTAAAATAAACTTATTTAGTTGTTGCATTTATTTCTAGATGGAACAAAAACATTCTCATGCTGTCGTTCGATGAAAAAAGGATAAAAAGGTCATTCTTGTTCTATTGAACAGTTTTATTCTGACAAAGTTCTAATTTTTGGTGAGCTTCTAAATATTTAGGGACGATGGTCATTTGTAAGTGTATTTATCGAACTATTTGATTTCGAGATCTTTTCACATTGGAATGCAAAAAGTAACCCTTTTTTATTTCTAGAGCAGACTGCTTGATTTAATCAAAAACTGAACTCATCGATATTTCTTTATTTATACACATAAATTTCCTTCTACAATGTATCGAAGATCGAGGACGACTCACTCTGAAGCACAAGCAATTCAAGGCAAATAAAATAGGATGTCTTCTCTTATTCTGACTTGCAACAGTTTGCATATATTTGCCGAAGAGACAGGTTCGATGTCTTCTATTGTCTACTAACATCAGAACAATTATCACAAATCAAAATGTCGACAACGGATCAAACTCTATTACTTTATACGGCGATTGAAAAAAAAAGATCATGTTAATACACAATTTTCAATTAAGAAAATCAAATAGAGATTTGGGTGGTGTTTACAACTATTCCATTTTTAACTTTAAAAAAATTCACTTTGACATTCTATAACAGATAACATGTGGATTGAATTAACGTCCAGATAAACACGTTCAGTTGAATCTGTCAAATGAAAATGAAATATTTCTAGAGAATCGATCAAAACTATCTGTTAATCATCCCCATTTTGTCGAAGGAAGCGACGAACCATCTCGAAATCAGCTCTACGCATTTGATATCTTTAGAAATGAATATAATAACAAGAAGAAAAGAATCTGATGAAAATTTCAATATACAAAAATGCACACGTGATTTAGCTGAAAAAGAAAAAATTCGATTAACAAATTAATTGTGTTCGATTGACATAATCTTCAATTCGATAGTTAAATAATTGAAAATCTTCTTTCTAAAGTCGTTTCAATTGACAAATGAGATGATCAGATAATGATGAATATAATTGTTGATAGTCTCGTGTTTTATGACCTGGGGATACATCACTGTAAAGCTACCACGAATCACTCAACAAGTGATTGAAGAGAGCCGTTCTCTCTCACCAAGCACCTCCAGTGGAAACGGACGTGACCATTCGATAGAGCGCTCAATAGTGCATCGACTGACCGTCTTGCATTCCACGAAAGAAATTTAAGTTGTGGAAAAAAGGGGTCCGAACGCCACGGGACTGCTGCGAGATGCCCTTTCAGTCGGAGTGTTTCTGCGTTATCTAGAACGCTTCTTCTTATTGCGTTGCCTAGGAGGCTAGCGACTGTTACATTATGGATGGTTGGTATTTTGTGGAATGGATATAATTGGTTGATATTATACTACATGCCGATTGGTGTTCATGCTAGCTTCACAGCGATATCGGATCACTTACATGAGGTCTATTTCATCAGCAGATTTTTTTCTATATTTATGTATTGAAAGAAGATCTTTTTGAAATAGTATAGGTAGTACTTAAAAAAAAGAATTCCAAATTATTAAGACTAAGTGTCAGATGAAATGGAACAAGCATCGCTTTTTTCTTTCAATAGCGAGATCGATATTACTGTATGGTGACCTCTATTATAACCAATGATGCAATTATATTTTGAAGAAGAAAAAAGTAGCGACTAATGAGCAATAAAGAAAGTGCATAATAGATTACGATGTAACGGGTGGGCCATAAAGAATTGCCCTCTCAGTAATTTTTAATTTTCTCCCTTATTATTCGTGCGATTAAAATATTTTTTTTTACCAAAAGATGGCGCTTGAAATTCTCTACGAAGATATGTATGATTGAATTTGAAGGTCATTTTAAATATATTTCCGAAAAGATGAAAAGTAAAGATGTGCAAACAGCTGTAAAAAATAAACATGAAAACGGTGATGGACCAACAAAAATTTATCGTNCGTTGCAAGTGATAAAAAAAACATTACACGATTATGTGAAAATTCGCGATGAAGTTGTATTAGTAGTTGGAAAAAAACAAAAGATAGTGTAGAAAATAACGATCACAATAGAAAAAGTCAGAAATCAATCAAATCGCTCGGGTTTAAAGTTGGAATATATCAAACTTGATTTTAGAAGCAGAAATAGACAAAAATCCTCTATGAAAAATAGAATTTGTCCAAAATTGTGGCCTGTTGTTCAATTCTTTTTTGAAAGGTGGAAAGTTTGTTAAAACTTAGGCTTGTATTGAGAAAAGTTCATTGAACTTATTTTGAACATTTCCAGATGACATAGATAGAAAATAACGCCGGAAGTAATTTTTGAAAAAATATGTAATTTTTTTTATCACTTGCAACGGAGACACTTATACTCTTCATTTTTCTTTCGGAGATGAACAGCATATAGATCAAAATAGATGTATACGTAATATTTTTTGTGGGCTATCCAACCATATGAGAAGCAGGAGAAATAAACCAATTCCAAGAACATAGTATAAAAACTTATCAGTGCAAGTTTTTTTGACTACAGCTGTATATCGACATTTAATTTGATTTAAGTTCAAAAGAAGAATTAAAAACAGTTTTTACATAATTGATAAATATGCCCTGCTAGAGAACAAATACGTACAAAATAAATAAGTGAGAACTGAGAAAGGGATGTCCTTAAAGAAATATTGTACTTTCTGTAAAGTACAGATTAATTCATTTCCGCTCGAATGAGATTACTCATTTTTCTATTGCAGCTTTTCTCCTCGTAAAAAACTGTCCACACGATTAAAATTTCATTCTTTGAGCGCTCTTATCATAACCACGAAGTTATTCGCCGAATTTACGAATTACGAAAAAGGTGCCAGTAAATTTCCAGAATTATTTTCTGTGAATACGAATGATCGTTTGATTTAAGAAAAATTCGGTTGACAATTATATTGATTGTTTTCTGAAAGGAAACTAGATTTATCTATGTATTGTGCTTAACTTATGCGGTGCTCCTCGTTCATTAACCCCAAAGAAAAAATGCCAAAACTATCACGTATCATATTAATAGACAGTCGCAAACCATGAAGAGGAAAGACTTTTATGAATTTATCTCGAAATTACGGAATGCTATCATGCGTGGTAATCTGATAATTGTTATTTCTGAATAGAATAGTTTGCGTGTGTCAAAGAAAGTTCTGTAGTTTGTCTTACTAGAATCCCGCGCATATATCAAAATGAAGATAGACTACGTTCTGAGTGAATATTCAACATTGGTTGTTCTCATTTATAGAACTAGTGGGAAAAAACCCAGTGTTCTCATATATAAATTTTTTCTTTTCATTCTGTCGACGATTTGAAAAAAGACGAGAACGACACATATTTGCATTTTAACGGGATTACCTTCCGGTTTCTTTTTTGAAAATAATCAAATGAATGCATCGTGCAAGCCTTTTCATTCACGTTTTATGGAAAAGTATAGGAATACTTTCTAAACATATATATAACAGTTCAATAATGTTCTTGTATTTATTATCAATGAATTATATCAATGATTTTATCGTCCATTGGAAACAAGTTCAATATATTGACCAGTACCACCACATCCATTTGGAATAACACGAGTAATGACATATCCGTTAGGAATAGGTGAACCAAGACAGATTTGCATTCCATTACGTGGCTTTTCAATATATCTTCCCATTCCTCCACAGCCATTCTTATTCAGTCGTGTAATGACATACCTAAATATTTAATTGATTTTAACTAATTAAAATAGTTCTTACGTACCCATCTGGTAACGGAGAACCAAGACATATTTCCATTCCATCACGTGGTGATTCAATATATTGTCCCATTCCTCCACAGCCGTTTTTGTTTAATCGAGTAATAACATAACCTTGAGGAAGTGGAGAGCCAAGACAGATCTCCATCCCATCTCTTACTGGTTCTATGTATTGTCGAGCGTTATATGTTCCACAACCATTGGGATTCAATCGTGTAATAACATATGCATCAGGAATAGGTGAACCAAGACAAACATATTGACCTTGTGCAGACGCGTGCAAACACCAAAAATTCAAATAGAAGCAGGTAGCTTAAAAAACAAATGTTAATTATTTTCTTTCAAACTGATCCTGATGTGTGCAGGTGACAGTATAACTTAAACTAATACTTATATACCTAAATATTCACTCTTTTATATAATATTTTCTTAGATTTCGAGTGAATTTCGTAGTATAAAGACTTACTTAGAAGAAAAACGGAATCCATCAAATATGAACTGACTTTCATAGTTTGAATATCAAACTGAGAATATTGAAATAAATAAATATCGCATTAAATTATTATTCACATTTAGTCTTATTTGCATATTATAAATCTGATGTATTGTATTTATGAATATATTCTCGATTCTCAAGAACACTTTTGTTCGCCCACTGCTACTTATATTTTTGTTTGCTTACAATAGTGATCATTAAAGTTTCACTTCTTATCTTCTTTTTACAGTATAATAGTATATTTTTATTATTTTAAATAACAAAAATTATGACAACTAATAACACATTGCCTAAAGATTGATGTCGTCCATCTATAGTCTATCAAATCTATCCTCAATCATTTTACGATTCTAATAATAATGGAATTGGTGATATAAATGGCATTACATTAAAACTTGACTATTTAAAGAATCTTGATGTTGATATTATTTGGCTCAGGTTAGCTTACTTGTTTTGTATATTTTATTAATTGTAAGTCGTATTCATTGTAGTCCTGTGTATGATTCTCCAAACTATGATAATGGCTATGATATTCGAGATTATTTCAAAATCATGACTGAATTTGGTACCATGGATGATTTCGGTCGAATGTTAAGTGAAATGAAACGATGTGAACTTAAACTTGTGATGGATTTGGTAGCGAACCATTCTAGTGATGAACATCCCTGGTTTATAGACTCAAAAAAGAGTAAAGATAATCCTTATCCGGATTTCTATCATTGGGCACCTGGCAAAGATGGAAAAGCGCCGAATGAATGGGAAGCCGGCTTGGGTATGAATGATGTGTATTTGTTTCAATATTGTATCACATTTTCTTCTCATTCTTGCTATAGACGTATGATATTCTAACTGATGAATATTATCTTCATACATTTACATCCAAACAACCAGATCTTAAATGGGAAAATCGTATTGTACGTCAAGAAGTATACAAGATCATTCGTTGGTGGCTCGATAAAGGTATAATTTAATATCTTTCATTATCATTCAATTCTCCCGAATTAGTTTTAGGTGTCGATGGACTTCGTATGAATGTCATAAATTTTATTTCCAAAGCACCGCGATATCCTGAAGGTGAAATATATGGTAATGCTGAGTATTCCCATGGCTCACCATGTTTCGTCAATGGACCACATGTTCATGATTATTTACAAGAAATGAACGAACAAGTATTACGTCACTATAATATTGTAACTATTGGTGAGTGTCCAGGTAAGTGGTAACAACGAAGAAGACATTTCTTTCTTAGTTCAACATTTAGGTGCGAATATTATTGATGCACATTTATTCAGTTGTACACAACGTAAAGAATTGGATATGATTTTTACATTTGAACATATGAGTCTTGATGGTGGTCGACGTGATATGGAAGTGATACCTAGAATTGGTGTTAATCCTAATTTTATAGAAGTTAATGTTGAAGATGCATTGAAAGATCCACGATCTATTTATTATTATTATTATCAAAAATTGATTGAGTTACGTCGTACTATGCCAATCATTGTATATGGCAAATATGATATATTACATCAAGAACATGAACATATTTTCATCTATCGACGTTACAATGAAAACTTAAACAATAAAATTATTGTTGCTTGTAATTTTAGTCAGCAACCGATGAAAATTGATAATGCTCAACTTAGTGAACGACTTACTAAGTGTGGTCATTTATTAATCAGTAATTATGAGAAAATGGGCAATTCGAATTATCTGGACTTTCGATCTTATGAAACATGGACAATTGAAATGAAACAATCATAGTTTATATCAAAGTTTTCTCTTTTCTTTTTTTATTTTTCATAAATAACATTAATATGTGTCTGATGCTTTAAACATGAATAAATAAAGATCGTGCAGAAAGAATGTCACGGATATTGATAGCAAATAATGAGGAGTAATTTAATATCGAATAAAGACTAGATAAATCTATTTTGACGTATACTGTCATATTTTCTTGTTCTTAATAATTATATTTTCATATAGACAAGAATTAAAAGCACTAGAAAGAGTTATCTATAAGGTAGAAAAGATGAATACATCCATGGTAACAAAGACAGATCTATTACGTGATTCCGAAAACATCCATATTATTGTTCCTATATCGATATCTTTTGGAATAATGGGTATGCTTATTTCTTGTATTATATTAATTACTGTTTCATTAACAAAGCGATTACATACAGTAATACATCTATTGATTTCAAATGCATGTATTGCATCAATTTTCTATTCTATTGTTCAATGTAATAATTATATTTATCTCTTGTTAATAACATGGGATATAAGTGATGTATCATGCCGATGGCGAGGTTATTTTACATATGTATCTATTGCAGCTTTTGTTTATTCTTATTTGTTACAAGCAATATCTCGAGTATTTTTTGCTATTCTATCAACTAAATATCAATGGTTGTTATCGTTTAAAACACACTTCAAACTTATTCTAATTAAATGGATAATAGTTTTCCTAGTTCCATTACCTTCACTTCTAACAAAAGATATCTCTTTTCGTGCAGGTTTTCTTTGTTGGGTACCAATGAAATCGAAATTACATGTTGCTTATACCTTAATAGTCTATTATTTCATACCTACTGTAATTGTTATAACTATATACATCATAATCTATGTGCGAGTGAAACGTAGTGGAAATAATGTATGCATTCAGAGAAGGACTATGAAACAACGGCAGAAACGTGATCTTATGATTCTACGGAATATAATGATTTTGTTTGGCATTTATATATTTGCTGGTACACCATCTGGTGTGTATATTTTGACCAGTATTCAATTGTTTTATTCAATTGGAGTTGTCTTTATAACATTGGCGATAACTGTTGAAAAATTAGTTTTAATTTTACTTGATCGAGAAATTCGGAATACTATTAAACATTTCTGTCTTCATCGAAATTGTAATTTTAGTGACACGAATCACTAGTAACATATTGTAGGCGTGATTGGTATATAGTGAATATTTATATTACACACTCTTCTTATTTCTGATAAAGATAATAATACAAACTATAATAGAACAAAAGTCGTTTCCGAAGTAATTAACAGTAAATGTATGATGATCATACCGAATTAACTGAAGGCGGAACAAGACACACTCTCGTTTTGACTCTTGTTTTTACAAACGGAATACGATATACGTATATTGGTCGGTTTTCTGGTGGACTTGCTCTTGAATATCTTGAGAATAAAGGCGCGAGGGGACAAATCCTCTTGAGGGTTTTCATACCTCATCGAGGTCTACCTATCATCGGAAGATGGAACCTCTCTCGTCAGAAACGATAAAATGAGATGTTGAATGAAATTCTCTGTGCTGCGGTCGTAAGTAAAAATGTAGAAAAACCAAAATCTCCTGAAATTCTTAAATTGAAAAATCCCTGTTTGGCGACTAGTACCCATGTAGCTGAATACTTCGAAATAATGCAAAAATGACTAATAATTTCCCAGCATTTTATGTTAAACTTTTTTTGCAAGGTTTGAATCCATTTGTTTCTGTACTTCTAATGTACTATAATTCATTACAAAAGGAATCTGACACTGGTATCATGTCAGCGGTCAAGTAATTTCTATTTATTAGAGTATAAACTCCAATGAACTTGCATATGTTTTTCAAATCTATGCTTTTTAAATGGAGTAGTTAGAATCAAGAGCGTGAATAAAATAAAATACATTATTATGGATTTTAATAAATTATAATGCAGTGGGCGCTTTAATGCATTTGATTGCGTGCAATATGTTGCATTATCATGTAAATACTTCCATTACGTTTCTATTGTAAAATAATGCATTATAATACTTATTATTTCAAAAATATGCTACATGGGTATTGACCTTAATTGTTCCGTTATACACAATTATGGATATAATTCAAGGAATCATAATCTATAGTAAATGATAACCAACCGTTCAGCCGTATTTTTGTACGCTGAAAGTTCAACTAATCAGAATTTATGTATGAAAAAGATTCATCGGAGGCATTTACTATTATAAACACGAACGTGTCGACTATTGGGGAAACAAAACTCATAAGACAATTATTTTTATTTTTATACAATAAAACTAGACAACACATTTCTATTAAGATAGTTATTTTCATCATCCAACTACTGCAAATATATCAATATTATATACTGACGATTTAAAACTGTAGATATATCACTCAATGCAATTTTTTAGATATGATTCTTATGTTTGACCTAATGGTTGATTCGGATGAATTCTTAGTTGTCGCCATCGATTAAAATGCATTTTGAATAATACATAGATGAATTGTCGACGAAATCTTTCCGAAACACATATGTATATATAGAACGGACTCTAAAACAAACTAAACTAATAAATAAAATCTAATCTAATAACTAAATGCTTACAGAAAAATATAAATAGTAGAAACACAAAGTTATCGTATAGATTAAATTGATTTGTGCTTTAATGACTAAATCTTGAATGTTTCCTTGTAAAATAATGACATATACGATCAAATTTGGTATTAAAATAACAAAATCATATACTATTTGTACAAGAACTACAATTGTTAATTGTTTGTCTAATTCACGTCGAACAAGAGGTACTGCCCGATATGCTAATTGTTGAACGTTTCTATATGACATTGAACCAAATGAAAATGTTATTAAATAAGGGATAACGTTAACAAGTGTAAGATAATTAAAATATGTATTATATTGTCCAAAAAAATAATTCGTATTCGTACAAACTAGTTTTCCTGATATTGTTGATGGAATCTGATCATAGTAAATTGTAAGTGGAATATGTGTAAGAAGTAAAAAAAATATAATGATCATTAAAAGACGAGGAGCTATTTTCATATTACTCCATTGTTACCAACGAGGACGAGCACAAGTAGCAAAGTATTGATCCATAATCGCGAGACAAACAGATATAAAAGACACCGATGCTGTAGTTTGAGCAAAAAATTGTCGAAATTTGCAATAAAATAATGAAGTTTGTGTCCAATCAATGTTATAACCGCTAATCATGATACGAGTTAATAAACCTGTAATTAATTGACCAATATTGGCAATTGACATGATGATTAGGTAAAATACACAAGAACTTTGTCGAAACGTTCTAAGACTTAGAAATATAATTATATTCAGACAATTACCAAAGAAACCAATAATAAGAATTGGGATACCAATGTAAATAATGATTTGTTGAGAAACAAATGATAGAGATGAAACAACTGATGACGACATTTTGAGTTTTATATTACAAAGAAATGTTTCTGTATCATATTTATATTTGTAGGTAGGAAGTTGTTTAATTAATGTTATAATGACGTCGTGTGAGATCTTTATGCACAAATGCATAATTGATAAATGAGAAAGTAGAACTAGCACGTATAATAATTAATAGAGGTGGAACTGCTTTTGGAATCTGCTTCGCTTTTATTTTATTAGAAGAAAACATACACACAAGCCCGCATACAAAGATGATGTCAAACTAATTAATTGAACATTTTTTTAAATTTTGTAGATATTTTAGTTATCATTTTTTGATAAAATAATGGTAAACAAAGACTTTTTCGTGTCATTAGAATATGCAGACGAACACTTCAGATAATAACAAGAGATTTCAATCAGAGCTCTTTCTTTCCATCGAAAACATTTCAGCATGAAATAGTTTCACAGAAAATGAGAATATTATATGAATAATTAAACTCATGCAAAAAAACGTTGTCCGGAGATATCTGATGAAAATAAGTAGTTCTTTGAGCTGTCGGAAAAAATTAAATGTCTCTACTAGGATAAACTTTCTAATAAATAAAACAAGTTTGATTGAATGAAAAGAAGAAAAAGCTATTGTTATATATTCAATTGTGTTAGATTTTTTTAATAATGTGATATTGACTACAATTGTATGCCGTGTAGGACTGTTAAAAATTTGATTGAATTGAATATCAGACTTCATTCACATTCACCTTTCTCAAAAAGTGTCATTCTCTTCTTTCTAGAAAATTCAATACATATTTCATCTACGAATCACCAAAGTACACATCAATTTGTAATGCCAATGTTGTGATTTCCTTGACAGTATTTTTCAATAAAATTTTCGATACAAATATCCTGTGTTAACCACTTCTCTGATGAATATTCATAATTCATTGATGGACATTGTAAACATTCAGCAAATTCCGTTATTTTCGAGCGCCCATTATTTTGAGACATAATCTGTACCTATTAAACGGCATCGAGTGATATCACAAGCTTGAATCAATCTTTTCGTCCTTGTAGTCTACAATCTAATTTTTATACGAATTTTCTTGCCAGAGCTCTACACGACTTCGGTTATACCTAAAAAGATTGATCAACAAGGCTTAAGGTATAGGTGTTATACTCAATGCATACCACTGTTGGAGTTATAACTATTAATTCTAGCTAGAAATACCGAACTTTCTTACTATAATACTCTGCAAACACTTTCAATCGTATGAAGAATCACTTGACGATCAAATTCTGTGCTTTTTCTTCTTTCTTGATTTCCACTGGTTTTGTCAGGAGTAGGGGTGGCACTTTAACTTTAACTTTAAACTTTATTAAAGTTAAAGTTGAAAGTTGAAAATTTTTGTCAAAATCCACATAAAATTAAACAGGGCAAGCTAAAAAATATTTTCGATTTTTTCCTGTACTTTAATTAAAGTTAAAGTATTTTGCTTTAACTTTAATTTTGAAAGTAAAGTTAAAGTGCCACCCCTAGTCATGGTCGTTGTCGAATGATAGCCGAATTCTCTTGATTGCTTTTAGTAGAAGAGTTCTTAACTGTTTGTTGTTAAGAAAAAAGATGACAGATGCAAGAATCGCAGATGTGTTATTTTATTTTCTCCACATTCAAAACAGATTTTCTTGAAAAAGTATCATTCATTAAAAAGAATTGAAAAGCAGAAGGAGTTGCTTTTTTATAGCTTACGACCGAACAAAATTCATCAAATACAATTGGCATTTCTATAGAAGATTGAAAAATGGTCAGTATGTTTGTGTTTTCACAGGCATTAGTGAGAAACTCAATCGAAAACTTCTATTTGCATGAACTATGTTGTGCTTTTATTAGTGCTGAATTTCTTTTATTTGTTATGTACAGAAGAAATGTTTGAAATATAAATCTTTTGGTGTTTTATACACACGATTGAGACGACACAGTAGTAAACCTGTCAGTGCGAAGTGAAGCTAATATCCCGATGCAGATAAATATCACGATGAAAAGTTTTAAAAAGATGCATTAGCAACTTTCTGACAACTTCATTACATAGGAATTGTTCTTTTGTGATTGATATATCATGAAAGACATAGAATAGAAATGCAGCCCATGAGTAGTTTTAGCAGAGATAATTCAAATAATTTCATTGCATTTATTATCTTACTTGTTGTTATGTGTTGACGAAACTTTCTAAAAAATTTTAAACGAACTATCTAGTTCATATTGAATAACTTAAACACTGGATACTATTAGCGGCGGCAAAATTTGATAACAACTATGGAAATTCTTCGATATTGTACGAAATCTATTGAGATCTTTTGGAATTACTCGAAAAAATTCAAGTTCTTCGAATTAATGGGTGATTGGTCTTGAAAAAAAAACACTTATCTTAATTTTCATTTGTCAATTATATTGATGTATCGTTGACAGAAGCCATTACCGATGAAGCCAATCGATCTGCTATGTGTAAGAAAAGAATTGAATGCTAGAATGAAAGCACACTGAAAAAAAATAAGGTATTCTACCAAACCCATCAAAAAGGTTTCGTATTTAGTGACGAAACTTAAAAAGGTTCCGTGGTGAGGGTTCGAAGTGTGTGCCCGCCGATCGATCCTCTTTTGGTTTCGTAGATTTTTGAAAACCATTTTTTTGAACATGTCGACACATTTGGAAGCTTTGGACACCTACGAAACCTTTTTGATGGGTTTGGTAGAATACCTTATTTTTTTTCAGTGTACTGAAGTCAGAGTTTAGCTTTCATGTTTTTCAAGTCGGATAAACGATTTTTACACATCAACTGGTACTCAGAACTCAAATATATTTTGGATCGAATCAAATATGCTATTGCACGAGCAGCAGATAAGGATACAAATCAATATTTCTTAATTTTGCAAGGGATCTTTCTTTGATTAACAAAACCCTTCTTTACACTTACTATATAAGTATGTAGTTCGATAAATATTACTTTGATGTTTCTAAATTCTTTTGCACAATGGCTTGTAATTACTCTTCTTCGAGCAGAACATGTACTTTTGTTATTGTCCTCGTACTACCGACTGTGCTGCTGGAGCTCTAGAAATCTTCCTCAGTATATTTTGGTTTTTACACCCTCAAGATTCCTCACACTCACAAACTAAATAATTAAATGCAAAGAAAAAGAAAGATGTATTGAGAATGTGGACATGTGTTTGTTCTCCCCACATCAGTACCCTTAAGATGCGCATCATAATTAGGAAGGCAAACACTACTAGTATTATCATTCTTCACTTCCTTTATTGCTTTTTTGATGACTATGGACAAAAAAAAGACACGTATTTATTTCTACACGTATACAGATACTTCTATGTATAACAGAATCATCCAACCATATCTACTTGCTTGTTTTTTTTTCCAACATAACATAGTTTCAACGACTCTTATAGGTATGTGAATCCGACTGATAGATCGATTACTCTGTATTTTTATTATTTTCTCCTACTTTTTTAACACTAATTTGTTCACCTTCTTTTTATCAAATTTTCTATGTTTAATTTTCTCTCGAATAACGTTCCGATACCCGTTTTTTTCGATATTTTTACCATCGACATTCTTTTAAACAGAGTTGAATTAGATCGTTAGTTTTCTCATCTGATTTTAACTTGCATCTCGAATTCTTATGGTTCTGCTTAAAAACTATACAAGTCATATTCACCTCATAGAATATAAAATAGATGAGAGTATAGCTGTATATTGAAAAATGCTTGAATAACATCGAAATAATCGAATGACTTCAGACATTCTGAAGAATCTGTAAAAACATGAACGCATTAATTATTCTTTCATTCCATTATTTTATTGTAGAAAAATTCCTATAAAATAAGCAATGCAACAACAGCAATACTTACATCGTACTGATATCGATATCCCTGTAGTAAATTATCGAGATAAAGTATCATCTTCAGTAAAGTACGACGACGTTCGAATAGTCAAAGTACATGAATTGAAACAAGCATTTGATGATTTTATTCAAGTATCAAAATTTTCACCGAGAGATCTAAAAGAAATACTTGATCTTTTGANTTCATAATTCATTGATGGACATTGTAAACATTCAGCAAATTCCGTTATTTTCGAGCGCCCATTATTTTGAGACATAATCTGTACCTATTAAACGGCATCGAGTGATACCGCAAGCGTGAATCAATCTTTTCGTCCTTGTAGTCTACAATCTAATTTGAATACTAGATTCATCTAATTTTTATACGAATTTTCTTGTCAGAGCTCTACATGACTTCGGTTATACCTAAAAAGATCGACCAACAAGGCTTAAGGTATAGGTGTTATACTCAATGCATACCACTGTTGGAGTTATAACTATTAATTCTAGCTAGAAATACCGAATTTTCTTACTATAATACTCTGCAAACACTTTCAATCATATGAAGAATCACTTGACGATCAAATTCTGTGCTTTTTCTTCTTTCTTGATTTCTACTGGTTTTGTCAGGAGTGACTTTTTGTCAAAATGGTTCGAAAAACAATTGAACAATTATTTAAAATTCTTGCGGTCTTACATGGTGCACATCAGGACCCCAAGCAGGCCAGGCCGGCTGCTTCCACATGCCAGGCCGCCTGGCCTGTCTAATATTGATTTTTCTATAGATATTTATTTAGTAACAATCCGATGTTCATAGCTTAGAAAAAAAAACAGTTGAATACAGATGTCACTATGCATCGAGCTGTTTTTTGTATTATGAATGACTAAAACCACAACCAACACAAAAGCCACGTGTTGTCTTCTTATTTCAATCGTTTTTTATAAATTCATTGTCTTTTTTTGTTGTTATTAGTATTTTACACTGAATATACTAATTGTTGTTCACATGGAGCTGATTGACATTGACATTACATCTTCTAATTCAGTTGAAGTTTCTCCATCTCGTACACAAAAAAATCAACATTTCACAACGACATCAATTGAACATCTATTAAAACGAAAAGACAGTCGAAAAGAATTTATTATTGTTGAGAATAATCAAAAGAAGAAGACGTCTACAGCATGGTCACAATTCGATTTTCCAGCACGTTTAACAGAAGATGGTACATATAATCGTTTACTTGGATTTGCTAGTTGTTTTCAATGCAAATCGACATATACATTTCAACCAGATAGAAGTGGTAGTACTCACACCGCCACCCACATCCTCAAGATTGAATGGAATGCAACATATGACTTCTATTTTTTCGAAGTGTTACCATTCTTACTAATTAGCGATCATAAATCAAATATCAACAGGTCCTACCATTTCATCAATACCAACAACCACAGTTGATCTGACTTCTTATGCGTGTGATAACATGACCGTCATAATTGGCTATGATTTCTATAGAAATGGCTTAGATCTTGGTCCCGTGGATAATTATACGGTTTGATGTTTATGGTGTCGTACTAATAGTAGTTATGTTGCATATACACGGTCTGTACCTACAAATCGTGAAACTTCTTCGATATACTATTTAAGACACTATTTGTTACCTTCCTCTTATGATTCAAGACTTATTAGTGCATACTATTGAAACTAATCTTGATTAGCTCACTAGGAGTACTAAAACTATGCTGATATCTTCTTGTTTTGTGAGAAATATTAAACGTGGTTTGATAAAAATCGGTGTAAAGCTAGCACCATTTAGCTAGCACCCGATAACGAAAAATCATAAAAATCTTATGTTCAAATGAATTCCTCTCCGTAGAAATAAGTTCATTCGCCGCAGAATTTAATTCTACGTCGAATGAACTTATTTCTATGGAGAGGAATGCAACTGAGAGTAAGATTTTTATGACTTTTCGTTCTTGGGTGGGTGACAAGTGTTGCTGCATGTACACCT